GATACGATGACATTTACTCGCATATTCAATTGCGCTTTTGATTTGAATATTTACATGCCTCGAATGCTCTCTCGCCTAGCATATGCTCGTGTCTTTTTATCCTCTGTGTGCCTGTGTGTGTACGTCTGTGTGTGCGTGTGTGTGTGCCGAGTGCTGTATATAGTAAAGTATATTGACATAGCCAAATTGGCTTACAGTGGGCTGCCATTGGGTCTTTGGCTCCTGGGTTAGTTGGCTCCACACGAGAGCTAATTGATTTCACTTGCCTTTAACTTAAAGTTGAGTCTCTCGTTGGGTGCTTTTAACTACTCGAAAAGTAAGCTAATGCTACTTGGAGTGGTTAAACCTTGACAGCCAACTAATTTGCCTAATTGATAAGCCATGCCAGCCACAGCTGGAACATCTTAAGCCTCAGCCAAGCTCAGCTACAGCTTCGGCCTTTGTTTGCTCGGCACATCAACATCTTTTGAGCCGGTGCACTCAGGCGCAAGTAGACGCACTTCAGTTGCAGTTGCAGTTGCAGTTGCGAACGCATACGCAAACGCAGCTGCACCATAGAAAGCGGATGCATATTAACATCCATAGAAATCTCTCAAAGCAATATGATGCAGCAGCTGCCATATTGCGGACGGCAACTTCATTGGAGTCTAGCTCAGTTCCTGCCAGCTACCAGTAGCTGCGCCTCCTGTCCCCTGCTCGTCTGCTCCTCCTTTGAGTGGCCATTAATTGCAATCAATTTCGCTGTCAACACACACTCCAAATAACTGCAGGATATTTATTTATGCGAGCAACACCCCGCCCCTGCTGCTCGCTCAGCCACCGAGCCTTTTGCAACTGAATAATTACCTTATGACACATTATCATTATTATTAAGCCTGCCCCGGCCACAACTTATCATTTTCACATCAGCTTCGGGCCATATAGGTCCTGGAATTACAGTCTACCACGAAACGCCAAGTGGCCACTCGCCTAGCCCCTAGGCCTCATAAATATGTGCGGCCAGCAAAATTATATAATTATTTCAAGTATTCTCAATCGGACTCGGGGACGAGTGAGTGCTGAGTGCGTTATCGCAGTCGTAAACCTGTTTCGCATTTAGTTTTTGTTTTGTTTTGTTTTTGCTTTCGCTTTTATTTGAATGCGCTCAGAGGGGTATACCAAGCTCAGATAAAGAGAATTTAATACCATTATGAAGTTGTTTGGGAAAACCAAAGAAGTATGTCAACTCATATAGCACGAGTAACAATGCATAAAGTCATATTAATCCATAGGGTATTCAATAGCTCATAGTCGACTCAGGTGGTTTCATTTATTTTCATCAATTTTAGCTGCAATGCGTCATGCATTGCTTTTTAGGCCAGCGCCGCTAGCCAAATACATTAAGCCCTGTCCTTTACCAAACTGATTTCAGTTTAAAGTGCAAATATTTGCGCCCTGCAACGATGCTTAACTGCAAAAAAAAAGAGAAAACTCCCATTAATAAAATTGTGTGGCGCACAAAGTGTTCGCCGCACCACTCGATTTACATGTGTGCAAAGCAGCTGCCGCAATATATTGCGTATATCTGGCCCCCAGGGCTGGAATGCGACTAAAAATATTAATAAATAATCATTAATGAGTTTTCAAAACATTTTCTATTGATAAATTATGACACGAGAGCTCCCTTTCAATACGTTTTATGTGTTGCTCAAAGAGCAGTACATTTTTTCATTTTGCTATGCATAGTTTTCATGTCCATTTTACATATACGCAGCACGAGTACCATACAAAAAAAATACAATTTGTTGCTGCAAAAGTTGTTCGTTGTAAATATTTGGCCTGGCCGCCCACAAATGCCCACAAGCCCACTTGCCGCAACAACAAAATCAACTTGACTCTCAGTGGCTCTGCCGGCAGAGAAGTACGCATTTCGAGCGTCCAAGGGTCTGGCGGCTTCACAGTGCGACTCGATGTAGCTGCGCAGTTATTGAATTGATGGTCGCAGCAAGTGCTTTAATGGAAACTTAAGTATCATCGTTTAAAATGACGCAGAAAAGCGCAGCCGGCGAACAAGCGAATGAACCCAGCGAATGCTGGTGACCCTTCAACGTCGGCCATTGCGTTGCCAATGCCAATTATTATTTGTATACCCTGTAATCAGCGAGTCAACTGGCATTAAAAGTATGCACTTCTTGTAACTGGTTATTTATAGTAAAAAGCTTTTGTTAGAGTGCAGTGAATATATAATATACAAATATATTAATTATAATTGGTTTTATGCCCATTTAAATTTGATATACTTTATATTGTCTGATTCATAGTTAATCTTTATTTACAGGGTATCAATGCTTTCAAGCGCTCTTGAGCGTGGGACGCGCTCGGCTCATTTCGACTTTATATTTTTGGTGCACATTAATTTTATGCAGTTTTTACGACAACTCGCATAGAAATGATGTGCTGCTACCCTGTGTAATGGGCATTGTGAAAAATGTATTACAGGCATTAGGCGAAGTCAGGGCAAACATTCAACTAAAATATGCAACGCGGCAGGAAAGTTTGGGTGGAGCGGAAGAGAAAGGGGCCACAATCACGTCATGAAAAGGGCATAAAAGTCAGACGAGTAATGAGCGAAGAGTGCAAAGCCTGAGCATATTAAATATGCACCAATTAAAAGTGACAACTGCGTCCTAAAACTCAGCGGCGAATCATCAAAAATTTGTTCAACAAAATGAAAATGCATGGCAAATATTTAAAAAGGTGTCGAGTGGCTTACGTGAGGAATTACTTTCGACACCCTTTTTTATTCTACTTTGTTTTTTGTTGGCTCTGGGTACTTTTGCTGAGCATCAACATGGCTGAGCTCGTAAAAGACAAACAACCCATCAAAAGTGAAGCAAAGTCCAAAAACCCAGAGCTCTGGGCTAAACCGATTTGTAAATTTATTTATGCACGCCTTTAATACAAACTTTGATTTCCCTCTCATGGCTAATAGAAAATCCTTTCAAAGGACAGCAGCATATCGGATTTTAAAAATTTAATACCGAACACAAAAAATAACAGTTTTTTCTTAGAGCCGAATCGTTTTTTTTTTTGTTTTTTTTTTTTTTTTTTACATGTTTCAATTGTGCGTACAATGGATAAAAATCCGGTTCATTTACTTTTAACTATTAATTTATCGCATTTATGCTTGATTTACCAAATAATGTGAAATTAATTTAAAATCTGACGCATAAATTAAAATCACAAACAGCACATGAAAAACCAAAAAAAAACGAAGTGGAACATGTTAATTACACGTAATCGTCATTAATTAATTATAATGACAAGGGCTAAAAGAGTCTGTGCAGCACTGGGTGACTTTTGGTGCATTTTAATGAGTGCTGTTAGTTGGTTAATATGCCCACAAATCTGATATAGAAGCGAATTAATTATAGTGCGATCACATCAAAATGCGCCTGCTGATTTATTCAGCTACAACAAGTTGATAGCACTTGACATGGCATTTCAGTCGTATACAAGACATAGACTATGCTAAACAGCAATTAGTTGTCTAAAATATAAATTTATCGCTTCCACTTAATTTATACGCAACACTTCTGCTCTGTATTATATATAGGAGTATATGCTGATGAGAGTAACCGGTGTATCATATATTATATGATGCCAAATATAATACGTACTACATACATACATACATATGTATATATGTACATACTATGTATATAAAATATCCACGTCTCTGACTCGATTCATGCAAGGATATCGATATAGACTCAACTTCCATTCAGATGAGCTTTAAGACATCAAAATAAACAAGTCTTAAGTTGCAGCAAAATTCTAATTTAATTAATTTTACATGAGTTATTTTGATCTAAACATAGATATAATATATAGCTATATATTTGTCGTTGTTTTTTTTGTGTATATTTATTTCAACATTTCATTTCAATAAGCAGCAACTTTACAGACCCTCATCCTCTCTCACAGTCCAACTCCCTTTTATAGCAATCAATCAAAAAGAAAGCAAAAATACATTTAATCCTCGAAGCAATGCCTACCCAAGCAGCTTGGGTGTTTATTTTTTTTATACCCTGAACCCATTGAAAATGGGAAATCAGGGTATAATGGTTTTGTTGAAATGTATGTAACAGGCAGAGGGAGGCGTGGCAGACCCCACAAAGTATATATATTCTTGATCAGGGCGACGAGCTGAGTCGATTTGGCCCTGTCCGTCTGTCTGTCTGTCCGTCTGTCCGTCTGTCCGTCCGTCCGTCTGTCCGTCTGTCCGTNGTTTTCTATTTAATTTATATTTTTAAATACACCGAAATTGAAATTTTAACTATACTTTATGTGCGTTTTTAATAGTTTGGTTATTCTAGCAGATTCTTAGAATCACATCAGCAGTTAGTTTCGTTTAGTTTTGGTAGATGGCGCTGCAGCAGTGAATCTATTTGAGTTTTGCCAGCGCCACTAGCAGGAGTGAGGTGGCCTAGTGTGTTAGCAGCATGACGCTCGATCGAGGAGTCGCGGTTCGAATCCCGATCGATGCAACTGATGTTAGTTTTTTTTAATTGTTTCAAAATATTTTTATATTTTATTAAATGAGTTTGGTATTTTCTTTATATTTTTAAATACATCGAAATTGAAATTTCAACCATACTAAATGAGCATTTTTATTTGTTGGGTTCAGGGTAGTATCTAGTCGAGCACTCTCAACTAGAATTTTCTTACTTGTTTTTTTTTTTTTAAATAGAGCCTTCTTTTAATCAACAAGCTTGCAGAAGTGTATTATTTTATATTTTTAACACCAGTTTAGGGTCAAGTTTAAGGCGAGTTTGGAACTTTGGTCTTACAGCAGCCAGAGAGCATTTGCCCAGGAAAATGATAAACAATGTCTGGGACTGTGTCGCCGACGCTGCCTGTTAGACATTTATAATTACAACAAAAAAGTGTTCCTTATTTACTTTGTGCTGTTTTTTTCGTTTTTGCTGTTTTCCGCGTTGTTGTTGTTTTTTTTTTTTTTTTTTTTTTTCAGTGCCAGACTTGGTCCGCCTCTTATGCTGGATGTGAACGCCCTTGTCGGCACATACAAAAAGATGATTTATGTATTTAATTTAATGCTGTTCTTGTTGTTGCTGTTGGTTTTATAGAGGACATACACAAACACACACACATACACACACATAGTGTTTATTTGTCAGGCGACAACGGGATAATAAGAGAAACCAGAAACACGAATCCGGTAGACAGTCCGGGATGCTCCTTGTTGTACATTATTTCCTTTTGCCGGTTTAACGGCATTTTGCTGTTTTAAAGGCATTAAATTGTCATTGCTGTTGCTGTTGTTGTTGCTGCTGCGCCCACATACAAAAACCATAAAAATGAGAAATGTGCGTCGTGACTTTGTAATGGTCCTCTTCTACATCTTTCATCTACTGCTCCTACTGATGCTGCCGTTGCTGTAATTATAAATAATTTGCTTGTTGTTGTTAGTACATTGTTAAGCATTAATAAGTAAATAGACAAGAGGCCAACGAGCTTAGCGCAGCGGAACTCGCTTCAATTATTCAAAAATCCAGCACAAGCAAATCAAATTTTCGGCCACACAAAGCAGCTGCGGCTCTTCCGCCCAGTCCTCGGCCCACAGCCCGAGCCACAGCCGTAGCTTCTGGCCAGGCACATGCACCTCGGTTGGATAAGCGGAAAGTAAATAACTAGTACTTGTAAAACATTAGTATCACACACTGCTGCACAGTTATAGAGCTAGCAATTACCATAAGCCCCCCACACACACACACAAATCCACCCATAGACATAGATACACACACACACATGACCATTAAACGAAATGTGCCCAAAAAGAATAAACAAACAAGGATCTAGTGCAAATTTTTGATAATTAAACATTCACAAGCGCCAAAATGCTTAACACAAGCACAACGGCTGCCAAAAAAGTGGGCGTTGCTCCGTGGCATTGCCACGCCCATGCAATGTTAACAGTGCTGTAGCGGCTGTTGTGGGGAGAGGTCCTGAACTTATGCCGGCAATGTAATTAACACACAAAAATTGAAATCTGCTGCCGAACACATACAGCCACATACACACATACACACACACGCACACAGGCACAGACATACACTTAAGCACACACGAGCCACCTAGACGGCTTCATTGAGGTCTCGCAAGTGAGTCGTAGACAGACAGGGACAGAGAGTGTGTGTGTGTGTGTGTGTGTGTGTGTACACTCTACTCCGTGATTGTATTTGTATTTGTGTTTACATACACGAAGTCGCAACAACTTCCTTTCTTCTCTCTTGTTTTTGTGTTTTCGTAATTAAAAATCAGCTGCAGGATATTTTCGCCATTTTCCCAGCGAAATTACAGGCAGCATGTAAAACATAAACAGCAATTTTCACCAAGGACTTCAGCGGCAGAGAACGAGACTCCCCACTGAGTGGAATTCAATAAGAAGTTAATGGTTATTAAGATCTGCGTATTTCAATTGAATTTCACAATTACAATTTGGGTTGAAATGTTTTTTATTGAAATGCCTTTGATCTCAAATGAGGCTGTAAAATATTTGTTAAAGAAAAGAGTTTTAAATCAATTGTAATTTAGGAGCTGATGAGAAAGCCAAAATTAATGGAAAATTAGCGAATCATCAGTATAATATATATGGAGCTGGTGGAGAGCCTTTCATTCAGTTGAAAATAATTTAAAAACCATTTATGTAATGCAGGGCATTCAAAGGACTGTCAACTGCCATTAAGCCCTCGCATATGAAATGAGATTGTCTATAAGCCACAGTTGTTAAGATTATAAAGAGCTTAACTACATAATGAACATTGCAAAATTATGAGAGGGTACAACTGACTGCGTAATACTCGTTCCCAGTAAACAGCAGAAGCAAGGGTCTATAAAGCAATCTACCAGAGATTTGCAAAGACCTCAGTTCTTGATCTATAACTGTTAGAAACTTACTTACAGTTTCAACTTCCTAGCAAACCAATATACCCTCTATGTCCCTGGTGAGCGTGTATTGAAACAGAGCTTTCAAGAATCAGCATGAACGGATTGCCAGCGCTCGCTGCGTAAATTTGTATGTCTTACAGATGTATGCAAATATGATTGAATCATTTAAATAAACTGTCTGCCTGCAGCAGATTGGTATGACAAATGGATCACTACTGAAGGCCTGTGCTGCTCTGTGTTCGGCGCTGGGCTGGAAAATCCGCGCCATAAACAAATATTTTTATTATGCTCAAATAACAATTTCACGTCTGCTGCGCTCGCAAGCCGAATTTATTTTATTTGCCAATCATTTACTTTGTATTAATTAAATATGTGGTTTGTTTCATGCAAAACCGCATAAATATTTGTGCTTTTTTACTTTCATATGTGCTTTTCAGTGGTTTGAGAAAAATCACTTTTTAATCTGTAATACAAACCCGACAAAACCAACGGATTTTCCATTTCGAAGATGCAAATACGTCTGACACTGAAATGTTATGAAAAGCCTTTGATTCTAAGTTTTTTTTTTTTTTTTTTGGGGAGCTCGGCATGTTTTTGACAAATTGACTTTGGAAGCAACAACAACAACAACAACCACGACCACAACAACAAAAAAGCAGCAAATGGCTCTCAAGTACCACATTCATATTGATTTCAAACGAAACTCAAAATGCAAATGACAGATTTATTTTTCAATGCTGTCGTTTCGCCTGTCAATCAACATGGCCAAGGTGTTGATTGATGTCTAGACTCCTAGAGCCAGCTGGTTGGGCGCGTATGCCCCATAGCCAGGCGATATTCCCCAGCTCTAGCGTTGAGCTGCAAAAACATTTCATATACATACTTCTGTACGTTTCTCTTTTTTTGACAGCTACGCATTCAGTGAGTTTTTTTTTTTTTTTTTTTTTTTGGGGGGGGGGAGTTGTTCTGTTTCCATATTCCGATTTGTTTCGATGTGGGTGCAACGCACGCCAAATAGAGCGCCTTCTGTACGCCTGGGCACACTTGATTGAATTCGGTATGGGGGGAGGGGGAGAAATGAGTGGGGCTACTAAGCTGGGCATTAGCTATGCTTAGAAATGCAATGACGCATATAGCATTCCATGTTCAATGGGATTATATTACAATATTCAAGTACATATATAGGAATGTATGTATGTATTTATACATATATGTGTGTTTGAAATCATTCTGTCTAACAAACGGCAGACTAATGTGAAGCTTGTGAAATGATTGCAGGCCAAACCAAATGTCTTCTGCAGCCGTGCTCTAGAATAAAATATGAATGAAATGGAAAATTTTAAATTCAATTTAAGTTATTTCTCATACAGTAATAGACTATCTATATATATAAAAGAAAGTTGTGTAAAAGTGAAGACTGCTTATAACTTGATTTGGGCTGAACCAATTTTCATGGTTTTTGATTTGTTGGATTTGTCTCCGCAACGAGTTTAGTATAGGGTCTTAAAAATACTGAAAAAATTTGCCGAATACTTGAAAAACGCGGTTTTTTCCCCAAATGTTCAAATTTTTTTTATACCCAGTAGGCTTGGTAACAGTGACAGTTTTGACAATAGTGTAGAAGTAAATAAACAAATGTAGTCAGTCAGTCTACGGTCTCCTGACCTCGAGCAGACCTGACTATTCAAAAAAAAAANTTCTTGCAAATATACTTCATGGGCAATATGGAAGAACAACTTGACCGGCGTCAAGAAATGAACACAGCTATGAAAAGAGCAATTCTCCATGATTTGCATGCTTAGAAATTTAAACCAACCAAAACTGTGCAATGGAACGCGTTTGGTGATAAGAAAACTGATGAGCAATGTGATTCACGCGTTGATACTCAAAGGAAAATTTAAAGATGAGGAAGTTCTTATTCCTAGGATTCCGATGAGCTCAACAGATATGCCCTTTGAATTTAAACGAATTCAATTCCCGCTTCGTCTTGCCTTCGCCATGACGATCAACAAGTCACAGGGCCAATCTTTGACTATTTGTGGCCTCAATCTAGAAAATGCGTGTTTTTCTCATGGTCAATTGTACGTGGCATGCTCACGTGTTGGCAAACGATCCGCATTATTTGTTCTTGCACCCGACCAAAAAACGAAGAATGTCGTTTACAACAAGGTGCTTGAATGAAAATCCGATTAATAAATTTATCAGTGTATCCCAGCCTGAACAACATAGCTTTCAACAATTTTTTACCTAGAAATAATATAGAGGGCAATGCAACGTTTGGCGGGCCAGCTAGTTTCTTATAAATTCCTTCAATAGAACGTTTGACAGATTTTAATTGAAGAAATAAAAATTTAATTTTTATATATAAAATACTTTGAATAAAATGTCGAATCCAGGGGCAAAAAAAAAGTCTATTTCATTTTCTACTATTAAATGGTAAAATATAAGTTTTCTCATCACAGATATGTAAAGCAGTCATCTCAGCTCCTCGTATCCCCAGATGTTTGTAGCAAGCCAAGCTCTATGAAATTGCAGTAAAATTTGAGGCGACTGCAGCTTTGCCATTAAAATCTTAGCCCAGTTTTCATTGTCTGAGCAGCCGAAATGTAACAAAAACACCATTCACCGGTGTAAGCAGCATTCACAGGTGTGCGCCAGAGCTTTTGTTTGTCAAGTAATTTGTTTGCATGTTTATTCATGAAAGCACGCCAAGAGCTCAGACAAGAGGCAGACGCAAAATAAATACATACTTAAAAAAATCAACAACAACAACGAAGGAAATTCTTGAAAGCTCCATCTCTCTCTTTGTTGCCTCGGCCAGCGTTACCTTCTCGCTTACTCCGACACTACGCTGGGCTTTTAATAATTTAACACTTCTCTCAGCGGCAACAGCAGCAGCAAAATTGAAAGCTTAAGCGGCTAAAACCGAATGTAGCCTTAAAACGGGCGACGATACTCGCTGTCAACAGCGCGGGCAGCCCTCAATGAAACACGAGTTCTTAAATGCGGCCAGAGACAAAGCGCTTTAAATATCCCGATTTGGGGATGGGACACATTGAAATGCGGCTGAGGCCGACTCAGACTCAGACTCAGGCACGGACACGGACTCGAACTCAGGCAGGCTGCGGCTGCTCATTGGCCTTAGTAGGACGCTTAACCCCATAAGGCGACGAGATAAAAGAGGCTAAGCTTTATTTATTATTCCACTAAGGGCGCAAAACTTGGCAGTTCCTCTAAACCAAAATGAAAATTGTACTTGAGGGAATTCTTTATGTGTTTAGCCACTTTGAATTGAAAACTTATGCTTAGATTTTTAGGATTTAGAATTGCTGGACAAATAAATTCAAATAGAGAGAATATTTTTTGAGTCACTTTTATAAATGAATGAAACCTGAAAGCCACAAACAGAAAACAAACAAATTCAAATCTGACTCAAACCAAACGTTTTGTTAAATAAAAAGAGTATATTTTTGTAAGCAAAACAGAGAGAACATGTTTACCTGACTGACTCAATTCTTTTCGATTTCATCAAACAAGAATTCCTAGCCAAATTTGTGGTGCAGTTCAGGTTCCTTATGGAATCCGTTGTCTATATTTTTTGGTCAATAATCTCTAACACGCCACTTTCAAAAATTCAATTAAAAACATAATGAACAATACAAGCTTGCAAAAATCAAAGAAAATATATCTAAAAATGCCTGCACATTATTGGGCTCTGTGCGGATGTGTAACGAAAAGAACTGATGCCGTTATTGCAATTGCCCACATTGTGAGCTTCCTGTTAGCCAAATACGCCCTGAGTCCATGCCAAACAACTGTCGATATGCACGTTTGTGTTTTGCTGTGTCTGTGTGTAGATGCGGCCGGCAATGCCATTAGGAGGTAGTCAAGGCGGAGCCTGGGGAGCGCGCACAAACGAAATAATCCAATATACATATTGTATTGTGCGATAATACGCCACACGGGTGGAAAAACTGTCTGTCTCTCATAGAGGCCGAGCGGGCTAGGGTTTTATTTTTTTTATACATTTTTTCGCTTTCTAGTGTTTAGCTGGGCTGCTTTGCTGGCGCAGTGCGATGTGTCTAGAAATAACGTTTGCTACGCTCCTCGAGTGCGTTTATTTAAATTTTTTGTTTGCAATTTTTAGGCAGATTTCAGACAAGGCAAAACAAATTCAACGGAAATCATTTCAATTTTCAGACTCTGGGCAAAGAATTTCCATACGACTATTTGTATAGGTGTGTGTGTGTGTGGACTTTGTTAGCTTTGGCTAGACGAATGAATGTAGAAATCAATTGAATGTCGGAATTCATAAAAAAAATTCAAGAAAAATATTTCGGAATTCCATGAATCCTTTGTGCTCGGTAGCTTTAATGAAAACCCATAGCACAATCTACTATAACGCTAATTGATATAAATTTCAAATATTTATGAATTATGCATGCATTATGCATTAATCATTACTAATCAATAACATTTTACACATCATTGAACATTGAACATTTATTATAATTGAATAATTTAAACTAGATATTGGAAAATTCCTCTGTGGATGGATTCGCAAATATATGTGAAATTCAACATATGTATGCATGGATAGCTTTTCATTTGTTTACTCATTTTGTCAATCTCTGCACAAACGATCCGAAATAAAAGTTTATTTTGATTGTAAGTGCCAGTCGGGCCATGTGCCAAGGATAACAGCCTTTGAAATGTTTTCGGTAACTCCTCGACTTTGTGGTCCATAACTGTTCGACTGTTTCGACTGCCAACTGTTGGCCAGTCAGTCAGTCAGCCAGTGGGCAAGTGTCCAAGATTGTTGGCACTAATGTTACCGTCTGGACCTTTTTGCAGCCCCCTACCCCCTTTCCACCCCTCGCCCGTCGTGCACCGCTTTCTAAGTTGGACTGAGCGTCTCCTGGTGCTGTTTATTTTTATGTGACAATGCAAAGTAAGTGCACTTGAGTTGTGCTCCCGGCCTACAATCAGCTGGCAGCTGCTCAGTGCGCGATAATTAACATTTGCTGCGTAGGTCAACAGCAATACACACACCAACACATACGCACACACGTACACACACACTTGAGCTCACGTCATATACTATAAAAGTGCTACTCTATAAATGCGTGCAGAGAACTGTATAAAAGTCAGTGAGCTTTAAAATTGGCACGGCCTCTCGCTCAATTACGGCAGTATGAGGAGCTCCATTGGCTGCCGCTGCCGAGTTGCCTTTGCACGGCCATTAGCCCGAGTGCGGGCTCGGGACCGACATGGGCTATAGCAGCGGGTATGAAAGAGCTCCGACTTCCGTTCCGCTTTGTATGCATGCCATAATTGTTTGACTACGAAAAATAGCAGCTCACAGATGCCAATCAATGAGAAGCCCGCTATGATGCCGCAGATGTTGCCAATTGTACCTGGAAATGAAGCAGTACACGCCGTATATATATACACGCCGTGGTATTTGTATTTTGTTGCTGTTGGAAATTGTAATATGCAGCAGACTCACTGAAGATCTCGTACCAGTCGTTTTTAATAATCTGCCGAAAGTATTGAATGTGCGTTTCGGCAAAGTAAATATGCACAACGGCCAGCTCGGAGCTGTCATGGCCATAATTGTTATTACCCGGGCTGCTGATGTTGCCGCTGTGGACGTTACTGCAAAATTAAACTCATTTATGGCAACTGACGGAGGGTAAACGTAACCCCATCGGGGAACCATCAACTGAGATTGAGCTAAACAAACGGAACTCTCAATCGGGAAACTTTTGTAGTAAAGACTAAAGCAACTGAAATGTAATATTATAATATTATAATTTAATGCTTAAGACTTGACTGCAAATAGGGAAATTCAAATAGTATATATACGCATATATACATATCAAATTCGATTCATTTTCTGCCCGCCTGAAAGTATGCAAATATATTTTTCATTTGGAAGTTGATTAGGCAGAAATTGAATAGGTCTCAAACCTTCGCTGAGAATTGTCCTTGAACTGTTCCTTTGTTCAGCTCTTACTACTTTCTACTTACGTCATGTGTCCAAATGGATTGTGTAGGGTTAGAGCTCCGGCGCCACGCACATTGTAGCGTATCTCACTACAGGAGGGCAGACATTGTGGACAGTAGAGGGCATCTTCCATCTCATGCTCCAGGCCGGGCACATACTCGCGACTGGTGATGACATTCCTCCACTTGACTGAAATAATATCAGAGACTCAATCGGCCTCGACAATCGGCCCCAGCCTCAGCCTACTCACATGTGTAGTGCCTGAGGCACTGCATGTGCTGTAGCGTGCAGAAGATGCGTCCCGTGGCGCCAACAATGTAATGCATGGGTAGCTGAAAGGGCAAGCACTGGCACAAGCTGTAGATGCTGTGGGCGCGGCACGCGGAGATGCATTTGCTGAAGGTATAGCGGCGAGTGAAGTTGTGCGGCATCTCATCCCCAAATCGACATTTACGCTATACACACGTTATTGAATGATTGGGCAATGATTGACAGATGTCTGTAATACGCACCACGGCGGGCTTCATGCGACGGGCCTCCTGGAGAGTCTCTAAGATTTGGGGACGCACTGGCAAATAAGTGCTGCGACCGGTTTTTACATAACGTACCGTAACACCGCCGGATAGTGGATCCGGATAATTGTGTATCTCATTGATAGCAATCTATTTAGGGATGTGGTGATTGAAATGAATATGAAAATCCATTTGCAGCAGTAAATCGAATAATAATACCGAAAACCCATCTTGATCGTTCTTGTCGGAAAACCTATCATCAGCTGCGGCTCTGAGTGTCAGTATTAGACCCATATCAGATCCAAAGAAATGCTGGTAATACGATCGAGCTGCAGAAAAACTAAACACAAACTATTAAAATCAAGATCAGATAGCATAAGATTTACATACTTTCCGTTGTAGTTGAAAGTGCAACAAAATCCAAAACTCGAGAGAGTTTCACGGAATCCCTGCACGCAATCGAATGGTCGTCCTCCTAAGCGACAGGATACCAAAATGTCACTGCATTTCGGCGTTAGAATGCGCAACCGATCCTTCGGATTGAAAAACAAATCATGCGGCCTGGTATCCAACTGATCCAGCAAACTCTGAAGCCGCAAAACACGCTCATCGTCGATATTCTCAGCGATGCCGTAGTACAAGCCAAAGGCACGCAGCTCCGTATAGAAATAAGTGGCGTTGCGATGTCTTGGGTCCTTGCTGCTGCTGCAAAGGGTGACCAAAGCGTATAGCTAGAGAGGGGCTTACCGCAACCGGACTCAACTTACAGCTCCTGTGCGTAACGCCAGACGGCGCGCCTGGATAGGCGATTCTGGGAGCATACCGTAACGGCGGGCAGGGGCACTTTGCTGACTGCATACAATGGATCGTACAGCGTGGTGACTAGCTCATCCGCCGCATCCTTGTACGTGCCCCACACGAAAGCAATTAGCATAGTCAGGGCAGTTATGTGGCAGATAAGCCAAAAGAATCTGCGGCAGAGTCGGCTAATTGAAAGGGCGGCCAACAAGGGGGAAGCAAGGGCTTTTAGGCTTCGGCCATGCTGCTTACTTACCGCTCCTGAATGCCACGTCCGTGCTCAACTAATTTGCCATAACAATGAAATGACAGGTTTTGCAGCAAATCCTTAACTGCGTCGGCAAATGACAATTTTCGCGCTGCCGACTCCTCTTCGCGAATAGCCGCCATTAGCGTGCGTGGCGCAGGTGGACGAGCTCGCGGCTTGGCTATCCACCAGGCGGCGTGTCCAACCACCAAACGTTTGCATGGCACCGCCGGACCAACCCGCTCTGCGTTCGCTGTCATGTTTGGCACTCACTCAGCCGTTTGTGGATTGCAACTGTTGCGGCTGTCTACGCAGTGCGAGCCTTTTTGTAGCCTGCTCCTCTAACAAGTATCCTGCCCACGGCATTGTCGTGCCAGTGGGCATGGCCAGGGGGCGGGGTGTTGATGCCTGCTCATTTTAATGAAAATTTTGCAGTCATGTCGTGCGTGTTGTTGTAATTAGGCCTCGTGTTCCAACTTATTGCCAACAAATTAACTGCGACATGGCACGTGGTGCTCGGCATTGGCATTGGTACTACCGCCTCCATGGGCTGTTTATTCAGGCAGGCTCTCGATTCGTCTTGGCAATTTCCCTTAATTGTCAACAATTTAAAATGAAATTAGTTAAATGCGCATTAAATGTCAGCCAACGGAAACAACATCTTCATCATCACCATCATCATCATCATTATCATTATCATTATCATCATCATCATCGTCATAATCATCTGGGGTGGCGACAAGGACAAAAGCAGGTCATGTTCTTTTTGATTTTTCCTCGTCTAGCCTGGCATTCCAAAAAAAAAAAAAAAAAAAAAAAAAAAAAAAAAAACCAAACCTCCCCCGTAGCCCCAGGATTACGAAGCACGCAAATGAAGCCACGTGTTGATTGTGAATAGAGATATAGGAATTTTTATATTTTACGAATTCCGCTTCTACAAGTACAAATAGAAAAGCAGAGCATTTGATTCCACGCATTTTCTTCAATTACTTCAGTTTTCATTCATGGATATATTTTTAGTTTTGTCGCATCCAACTTCTTCTCCTTGCTGTTGGCTCTGCCGCGCTCCAATATACGATGACAGCCCAAGTAAATGTGCTTGCAAATGAAGAAAAGCGTCTCAAAAATGGCCACCAATGAAAATCCCATAAATATTGATAGAATATTGCCAACGGTACCTGACAAGAAAAGTCTCTATTAATTACCGCTAAATAAATAAACGTTCAGCCACTTACTGAAGATCTCAAACCATTCGTTGTTCAACAGCCGCATATAGTAATTAGCATTCGGCTTTCCAAAAAACACTCTCAGGACGGACAACTCGGTGCCCAGGCTAGTGTCGACTTCGTCAGGTGATAGGCTCGCCAGGTAAGTGTCGATTGGCAGCTCGTTGAGAGAAACACTGTACTGAACATCGTTGCACGAGGGCAGGCACTGCGGACAGAACAAGGCTTCCTCTGACTCACGCTCCAGGCCCGGAATCCGAAGTCTCTGGGTCAGTACATTATTCCATTTAACTAAAAAAATGATCAAAAGAAGCTTAAATAATACAAGGCGCAGCAGGTGCCGCTAGAGGCTCACATTGGTAATTGGAAAGGCAAGCCACATGGGCGAGCGTACAGTAAACCACTCCGTCTAAGTTCTCCACCAGTTCCAGAGGCATCTGGAAGGGCAGACACTTGCATAGGGCAATTATGCTGCGTATGCGGCATCTGGTAATGCAGTTGGGGAAAGTATAAATGGAGCCTATCTGTGGCATATTCGCTTCCGTATGGAAATAACATCGACGCTAACAGGCAATAGAATAGAATAGAATTAGATAATTGAATCGGAAGTACATAAAAACTTACGCCATATGGGGAAAATGAGTATAAACTGTTATCGGTATCTATTACACGCGCAAAAATTCTCAGATAACTCTCTTCCCCTTGTCCCGGAAACATTTCCAATGAATTTGACGATGTTACCGCCGGAAAATTATCCGCATCATGAATTATAACAATGTAGCCATCGGTATTCAAAACTGGCGACAAATAGTCCGCCTTACTCGAATTTAGGACAACTGTCAGTCCGAAAGACGAATCAGCCAAGCGATAAGTAAAATTTCTCTTTTTAAGCCTGCATAAAATTAGAACGTAATACACTTGTTAATAATACATATGTATTTGTGGAATATAAGCAAAACTTGCCAGTTATTGCTATTAAAAATGCAGCATGGACCATACTTCGTCAGTTTTTTCTGAAAAGCATTTTCGCCTAAGCAGGGGATTTTCAGATTGTTCAGACTGCACTTTATTATAAATTCCGAGCACGTGGGTGAGAGCTAGAAATAGCACGTTATTAAAGAGCAAATGACAATGTCAATGGACTAGCTCACCATATACATGATACGCCGCGTATTAAAGAAGGTTTCATTGTTCCAGGTGCCGAAGATGTCCAGAAATGCTTGAAAGTTTGCATAATCATCATTGAACGTCTCCTTGTCGCCGAGCATATACAGTTTGCGCAGATTTGTCAGATTGTCCAGGTAATACTTCAGCTCTCGAGGCGATGGATCGCTACTCTGACTGCTTGACGATGACGCTCAGTTAAGGCCACGAAGGAGAGAGGCAAAGATTAAGGCTACTCACAGCTCAAGAGCGTAGGCAGTGGCGGCCCGCAGGGAAATGCGATTGTTGGAGCATATTGACACAGCCGGAAATGGCACATTTTGAACCGGATAAAGTGGATCCTTCAGATTGATGACAAAGTATTGTGCAACAAAGTGCTCCCAGGTGAGCATGAGCACAGCCACCATTGAAATGAGCGTGGCTGTGTGCACCAGCAGCCAAATTAATCTGCAAATAAACGGGCATACGGACGGCGTACACGGGGTGGCGGGGCATTGTCGCCAAGATAAACGCACAAAGCACACGGCCATGAGCAGTTTTTGAGGCAAACACGGAAACGGAAATGAAAAATGAGAACGCAAAAATTTTTAAACTACAGTGCACAGCAATGATACGGAGTCGGTGAAGGAGATGGTGACGGCGACGGTGACGGTGACGGTGATGGGGACGGTGAGGTAGACGTTGATGGCAACGCCTAAAGAGACGGAAAGACAAAGGATACGAAACTGCAAATTTTCTATAGAGTCCACGTTGCGTATGAGTAACGTGACGTAAGCGCGGCAAAAGCAACTGAAACGGGCTGCGCTTTTCCAAGAGACGCTTACCGCTCCGCCAGCGTGAATTCCGCTGCCAACAGCTTGCTATAACCCTGCAAGGATATATTGCGCAGTAATTCAGCGATATCCTGACAAAAGGTCGACCCAAGCGACTCCTTGCGCCCCTGCCCCGTGCCGCCCGCCTTGGCTCCATTCGGATTTTTAATCCACCAGATGGCATTGGATGTTGATTCAATATTAACCATTGAGGCGCACAATTTTAACGATGATGTGAGCTATTCGCCTGTCCTCAGCCAGTGATTGCTGTCTGCCAACTGAGCGTCTTTAACACGTGTAATTGGTGGACCACTTGGCGACTGGGCGACTGGGCGTGGCCTATCGCTGAGACTTTAATGCAAGTTTGTCATTAACATTTGAATTAATTGCTCAAAACTTCCACGTTAATTATTGAGAAAGTAAAGTAGAGCAGACTTTGCGGCAGGCGCAGTAAATACGGAGCCAGTGCTGCCAACTTCTTCTAACTAATTTCCCGCAGCGATAGTATCGTCATTAAATTAGTAACAATTTATTTATAATGAAATGTGTAAGGCCAATAGTTCAAGCTAAAGTTAACTTTATTAACAACATGTTCGTTTGTAGAAAATAAGAATGAACAAAAACTGTTGCAGACTTTTATGAGCGAATCATAAACGAAGTGAGATTAATATCAAGCCGAATGCACATAAGTATTTACAGGGTATTTAAATTATTCTCTTAAGCTTAAGTGATTTCTAGCGACCCGCTGGCCAAAACGGTTGTCCTGGATAGTTTCGGCTGCCCACAAAGGCGTACTGATTGGGATTGATGACGCGAGCAATATCCGTGTAACTGCGACCGTTACGCTCTGTGCGGTATCCATAGGCCGGCCAGCCCATGGCCATGGAGAGCAGTGTGAAGCAGGCCAGTAGAGCCAGCAGTAAGCACTTGCCTTGCAATCGAGACATTCTGTTTCTAGGGACTGCTATTGAGAACTGCACTACAATGCCGTCGTCTCGAAGCCTTTTATATACCAAGTAAGTCATCAGAAAAGTCTTGAAAGTCTGCTGCCTGATCGATCAGGTTTTGGTGTGTCAACCACAGCAACAACAACAACAACAACAATAGCAATAACAATAGCAACAACAACAACAACACTTGAAAACATTTTCAGTGCCACGCGACGCATGCGGCGCACGTATCGGCATTGTCAAGCTCCTCTTCTCGCAACAGGCGACGTGGGATCTTCTGCTATCATCTCGTAGTGTCATCAAAATGTCATTCACTCTGGGTTCGATCAGGTTTGAGATGGCGGCGTTCACGTCTTGACTCAGAAGCTATTATATACACTTACTTATGCTCGCCTCAATCATACATTTTACAGTCTATTTTAATGACTCTAGAAATGATTTGACTAAAATAATTTCAGCAGCTGGGCAATTAATTAGCAATTTAGTAATTGCGACTGTCTAATGACACTCATGGGTGCGTCCATAGGGGAGCGTTAAGAATGTGATCAATCCATTATGTCACATTTCAAGAATATAAAAGCCCAGACTTACGCAACACCCAGGGGAACTCCTAGGTGACTCGGTGAAGTGTGGCTGCAGATCTTGATTACTAACAGAAATATAACTGAGTCAATCAAAATCACAAAGCAAAGTAAAATACATATATGTTTTATGTATCCTCAAAAAACCTGTACTGCACTCGTTCCCCATATGAGTTTCGCTTAATTTGCGAATATTAAGTAAGTACTTTCAAGATAAGAAGAAGCGAAAAGTTTATTATTGTATGAATGGATGAATGAATACGATGTATGCCATGAAGGTCTGTGACCTTCAACTGGTCGTTCTAGTAGCACAAAGAACTTAAATAAAAAATAATAAGTATTTAAAACAAAGAAGAGTAAAACTTAATTGAAAATAAAGCGAGCTAATGTCTAATAAAACATAAATTTATAAAATTAAATGCAATGATCTGATATAATTTATGTATATAGGGTTTTTCAATAAGAGCGGGAGATGTTGTATATTTTACAACTAAATTATATTGTCAATTATATCTTTCGTCCTCCCGGCCAATAAGCCTGTCCTGGAATGAATTTGCCGCCTGAGATATATTGATTGGGATTGATCACTCTAGCTATGTCCGTATATGATTTAGCAGGCATAGCCACAGCCAGCGCCAACAGGGCGATCCAGGTGAATAGAGCCAGCATCAAGAGCTTTGCTTGCAACGGAGACATTTTGCAGCTTGGGTTTCTTATTAAGAACTGCACTTCAGCTGCACCACACTGAAGACTTTTATATCCAAATGCTGTCAGAAGAATCAATGCTACAGACTTCCTGCTTATCGATCAGGTTTAGCTCAAACAATAACAACATTAGAATTCTTATTAAATAAGATATACAGTTTCCAATGTAAGTTCTAAGCTCATTTAATTAAATGCACGTTAAGAGCATCGCTCGCACTGCGCTCGCTGAAAGTTGAAAACACGTTTTAAATAGTCGCATATTTCAATGTATAGATCTGAATTTTCAACATTCCCATTCAAACTAAAATGTGAATGATTTAACATAGCTTAGCTTAGCATAACTTCGACAGCTTAAAATGTAGATAACAAGTTTCATATGAGCTGCTAATGACGTAGGTAGGTGCGACAGTTGTTGGTATTTATCGTAAATGGTTAGGAGCAATTGTCTAGACAGAAATGTTTACTATTGCGAGAACAATACTTTTATATTTCCTATCAGGAATTTGGATATAAGTGGACTTGCCTAGAGGAGTATGATCAAGTCTTATCTATCTATTCTACGTATGTCTCTAATAGACTCAATCATTAAATAAATTGCTTGAGCTATGAGAAATAATGTCAGCGATCAAAATTCCGATGAAGAGTCTCTCGGAACTGAGATACATATATAGCATATAGCTGTAGATAAAACTACGAATTCGACATATAAATGAACTAGATTTGTTTTCTTGAGCGTGATTCGCGTGACAGTTACGTGACACTCCCATCTCTAAGCGACATAGTCGCATTTCAGTCACGTCGCACCGATCAACAGCTACACGCGGCTAGTACTTATGATTTACATAGATACAAACAAATACAGACATATATGTATGTATATATTACATTTAAAGACTAATTAAGAAGAGCAGAAATTAAAATTGTCTCACATAGAAGCACGTAACAACTAGTGGTGTACTTAAATTTTATTATATCATAACTTTCACAGGTTTATTTTTGAGTTTTACACAAATTTCGTATTAAATTAGTCAGCCCCACAAATGTGAGTAAGGAGCGCGCGGTAGATAGCGGCCCGCACCTAGCCCTAGATACGGGTCTGGTCTTAGGACTCTGGCTATCTGTGAGTAGGTGCGCCCGGTACGTTGCCGATTTTTTGGCCTGTAGGACTGCTGCGCATATCCATAGCCACTGGCATAGCCATAGCCCTTGCCATAGCCAGCGCCGTAGCCTCCGCCGTAGCCACCACCGTAGCCACTGCCATAACCGCTGCTATAGCCTGCGCCGTAGCCACCGCCGTAGCCAGCGCCGTAGCCGCTGCCATAGCCAATGCTATAACTGTTTCCATAGCCATTATATCCGCCATATCCTTTATATACACCATATCCACCATATCCTCCATATCCCACGTTCGAATTGTAGCCATAACCACCATTGCCAGAGCTGTAACCACTTTTCAGACCTTTGAGTGCTTTCAGCTTCTTGAAGAGCAATCCGTTGCCCAAGTCCAGGCAATTGCCCAGCAGCAAGGCGAGGAACATTATGATTGGAGCCCGCATGTTGTTTGAATTCTCGTTGTGGTTCTGGTTCCGTGCGGATCTTTTGCGTTCTGGCTATAAATCTGGACAGCGGGCTTCTATTTATACCCTGCGACTAGAGCCTGGACACCGATGACACATTATGCTCTTAATCGTTTTGTTTTTGTGTCTGTCAGCACATAAAGCCACCTGGATCGCTGGAGATCTGCTGCCATAATGCTAATTTCTATCCAAGCAGCAACAATTTAATGCATTACTATGAATTACTTGGACATTAACTGATGGATCAAAACATTTTGCTATGCCGAGCACGTCCGTGATAAACGCACTGCGAGGGAAGCAGCCGCTCAAGCGGATCCATGAGTCGCCGATCATCGGTCAACGGCTGTCCACATCTTGTTTCCTCTCAAGCTCTTGTATACAAATTTTCTTGATCGCGTATTATACGCTCCGTTAGAGAGCAAAGCTGCTATGGCTCTCACGCTCTCTCATTGTGTATTGATTAGCACAAGCCGCAAGCACAACAAGCAAAACAAACAAACCGAAGACAGGTTTCGAATWCAAATCTGAGTTGTCTCTCTTATCGCCGAATGCCGAACGTCAAAAAGCAAAAACTTTCCCCTCAGTTAGAACTCGCAGCTCTTAGCGCATGGGCGCTGAATTTCGATGCGATCATAAGTAAACATGACGCGAATACGATTTCATTTGCCAACGGCCTTGACAACGTGTTTGCTATGCCTAATCCGAATGGGCGCTGCCCAGCTCGCTGTGGCAACGTCTTCGGCATCAGCTGATGGTGCAACGGCATCCGCTAGCACCATTGCTGCCGCAGCTCCAATGCTTCAGCAAGGCTTTGGCTTCGGCGGCAGACAACTAGGAGGCATACCAGATAGACGACGGCAGCCACCACCATGGGGTGGTGTTGGTGGCGGCGGCTGGAATGGTGGCAATGGTTGGAGTGGCGGCGGTGGTTGGAACCGAGGCGGTGGTTGGAATGGCGGCAGCGGTTGGAATAGCGGCGGTGGTTGGAATGGCGGCAGTGGTTGGAACAGCGGCGGTGGTTGGAATACTAGCGGTGGCTGGAATGGCGGCGGTTGGAATGGTGGTGGAAGGCGTCCTCCTCCCGGTTGGGGAAACTGGGCTGGCGGCAGACCACAACCTCCTGGCTGGGGTGGCTGGGGTGCTGGAGGCGGCAGACCACAACCTGCTGGCTGGGGTGGCTGGGGTGCTGGTGGTGGCCAGCGACAACCTCCCGGTTGGACAGACAGAAACCGACAACCACCACCTGGATGGGGAGATGGAAATGGACCACCACAATCTGGATGGGGAGATGGAAGTAGACAGCCGCCTCCTGGCTGGGAAAATGGAAATGGACAGCCACCACCTGGCTGGGAAAATGGAAATGGACAGGCACCACCTGGCTGGGAAAATGGAAATGGACAACCGCCACCTGGCTGGGAAAGTGGAAATGGACAACCGCCACCTGGCTGGGAAAGTGGAAATGGACAGCCACCACCTGGCTGGGAAAGTGGAAATGGACAACCGCCACCTGGCTGGGAAAGTGGAAATGGACAGCAACCACCCAATGAGTACGATCCTTCACGTCCCACCGGGGCCGATGGCAGTCAGAAATTCCAATTGCCTCCAATTGAGATTCCATCAATTACAACTACAACGACACCTGTGCCATTCACCCAACCCACCCAGGATACATTGATCATGGGCAAAAATCCACCGCCTCTAATTATATCGCCCACTCCGCCTCCAAGACCCGGAGATACGCTGATCGTGGGCACAAATCGTCCACCCCTACAACCACCTACAACAACAACGCCATCTCCTCGATCAATTGAGCTATCACGACTGCGCGACATTGTTTTTCCCAACTCATTGAATTACATACATAGTCCAAGCCAGGAACTTCAATCTGAACCTATAGATGTGCGCAGACGAAAATGATTAAGCGATAGGTTAGCCAATCCTCCTCTTATACTATGTAAAGATATTAATTATACATTTATATTTATAGCAGATTTGCAGTTTAATCAGCACAAATAAAGTTGTACATTCACACGGCTCAGTGCTCTCAGAGATTCATACTCAAGTTCGGCTTTTTATGTCTGGAGGCTATGAGGTCTACAAACAGGTTTTTCAAGCTGCTAAACAGCTACGAATCTACAAGCATATAAAAAAAGGGAAATATGTATTTAACTTATGTAGAATAGCTGTATTTCAATTCATATTCTATTATTCAATATAAATTAAATACATACATATATTGAAATAGTAGACGGTCCCTTGTGAAGTTAGTTTAGCCTGTTTTCAACATAAATAAGGAAATGTTCTATTGCAGATCTATCCGTTTTCAATGGGTACAAAGTTCTTGCAGTTCAATGTTCTCCCTGATCAGAAGAAGCTTACGAGTTTACTCAAGTTCCGAGATAACAACAAAATATTTATTGACAGATGTTCATCATTCAAATAAATTATATATCAATACTTAAGATTGAGTTCCTTAAATATGTAATCATAATCACAAATTAACGCTAATAACCGTGTTGCTTGTAGCCACCCACTCCGTGACCGTGAGCATGGCTATGTTCGTGTCTATATGTAGAAGGGGGTACATAGCTTTGCGGTGGATAGTGTGGCTCGGGATAGTAGCCCTTCACTGGTCCATGTACAGGTCCTGGACCATAATAGCCATACGCAGGAGGAGGCTGGGCATTGTGATTGCCCACATTAACGCCACTGCCGTGAACATAAGCTCCACCGCCGCCATAGTAATAGTCGTAGCCATGATCATAGCCCTCCTGTATGAGTGGGCCAGACGATGGAACTGGTCCATATGGCCTCGGTCTGACATAATGCGGCCTATCATCCAGTACATCAAGCAGCACTTCAGCCATTTTATCGAATGTAGGTTTTGCCTGCGCAGTCAGCAGAGCTGCCAGCAACAGGAAGCAGAATCCAATGTTGAGCTGCATCTTTGGTAGTGTTGAGAATCAATATGACGCTTTCCTTTGCCGAGAATCGAGCTTATATAGCTGATAATCAACATATATATGTGTTCAGTGAATGAACAGCCTTCAATAGAGCTGATGATCCCTATCGTTAATAGGTCAATCGCATGGCGGGTATCAGGTCTATGCGTTGACTATTTTACTCAACAAAGTCGAGGTTTAGCCAACCCAACTATGTACAATATGTTTTTGGCTAAAAATAAAAAGCATAGGGAATTCCAGATAGAGTAAAATCAATATTTCCATAAAACATTCTGCTATGTGGAAATTGTATTATTTCAATATTTCCATAAAACATTCTGCTATGTGGAAATTGTATTATTTCAACTAAAATTGGTTTCATTAAGACTTGCCTTTTAAATAATTTAATTTAATATTTCAAAAAAAGTTTAAAAAAAAAATAATAACATACAATTTTTATAAATATGAACCAATCAGAGAATCAATAATTCGGATTTGCAAACATCAGCGAATTTTTGATTATTTACTCCTCAATGAAACACAAATCATCTCAGTCTAGCACCTGACCCGAATGATAACCCCTACAGCCATAGAATCATTTAATCTCGCGGTGTAAATAAGCTTGGCATTCGCTAGTAAGGTCCAGTTTCACGAGAAGTTTTGTCATGCGGTGCTGCGTTGCCTTTGTTTGGCTGCTGTTGGCCCTGACCGCTGTCCTGACTCATGCGTCACACTATTCGCGGAATGAGAGCAACGAAGATTCCAAGACCGAATTCAACTTGGCCTCCACTTTCAAAGGCGGAATTACCAGCAGTCGTCATCATGAGCGTGCTAACCTTAACTCGCAATTATATCCAGATCTAAGGCAGCAATCAAGTGGGTCAGTTGATATTGATGAGCCGTCCGCTCATGAGAACGGCGGCAGTGGCATCGATCTTCGCGCTGGCCCGTATGGAACTGCTGTAAGAAATCCACAGCCACAGCCGAATGGCTTTTCAAATCATCCCGCACCAGTTGGACAGCCACAGACAGCAGAGATTCCCGGATATGCAGCTAATGGAAATCCGCAAGTCCTGCCTCGCCCTGGAGTCAATCCGTCAGGCGTATATCCAAGTTATGGAAATCCACAACCTGTATACCCTGTACTGCCTGCTTACCCGTATCCAGGACAATATTTACCACAGTATCCATCCTATCCACCTTATCCAAACTATGGACCAAGCGTGCCTGTAATAACGCATCCAGGCGCGCCGCCCATAAGCTATCAGAATCAGCAAAATTATGCACCACACGCGGCAGCAGGACAACGTGATCGTTGGGATCGCAGCTTCAGAATGAAAACTGAGTACACGGAAGATGGAGTACACAAGGGACCATTCAGCGTTCTGAACAATCACGGCTCGCAGGGCTATGGCAGTGGTTTTGGAGGCGGCTATAATGGCGCATTCAACAGGCCAGGTTACTGAAAAACTAAACGCTAGAAAGATTATAAGTTATGGTCATAAGTTAGGTGTAAGCTAACCTCACCGTGTCAGGTTTAAGAAGAGCAGCAGCTGCTCGACCGAGTCTGTTTTAATAAACTTGATTTTTTGCCCACACCCAACCGAAGTAATTAGCAATATACCCCGGTTACACCTTAAGCAGCGGCAGCAACAGCAGCAACAGGAACACGAAAAATAAGAGGACGACATCAACACGAGGACATCTTAGCCTTTTGTCCTATACGTATGTACATAAGGCACCCTACCTTGCGAACCGGAAAAAAGAAACATGCATTTCAGTTGCCTCACTATTTCTGTTAAGGAAGCACACAATGAACATTGAACTACCTGGCTGAAGGCAGCCCTGGCAGCCGAAAAAACATGAAGTACAGGCGCACAATGGCAGGAGGACAGACGACGGAGGACAGACGACAGGCGACCGACAACCGACAACCGACGACCGACAAGGAAAGGTGGTAGAAAACGTCAAGGAGACAGACAGGCGGCTGCTGTTGCTGCTGCCTCTGCTGGCTCTGCTGCCTGCCCTTTTTCAGGCTCAACTGCAGCGACATAAATTGGTTATGTATGCAGTGATTTGTTGGACAAAGACGATTACGGCAACGGCGACTGGAACGGGAAGAGGCATCGAGGTTGATGTCTTGCGGCGCATGCGCAGCCTGCTAACCAAAACCCAAAATAATTTGGCGCTAAAATGTGCAGACGGGCGCGCCAAAAAACAAAAAAAATCCTGACCCTGAAATAAAAACATAGATTATTGATATGTGTTTGTGTGTGTGTGTCGGCTAGACTCACCTGAACGAAAACAATAGAAACTAGAGCTATCCCAAATGGCTGTTCAGCTATAAATATATACATAAATAGATATATGTATATGKGGATACAGAGAACTAGATTTACTTACCTAGAAGTTTTTCTAATTCCCCCACACTGAACATGCAATTTCTTGAATGGACATTAAAATTGTTTATTGGTTTCTCTTGACGCGGCAGCATACCTGCATACATACATGCGTACATACATATATATATATAGATAACATGGAATACGAATACATACATAACTAGTTATTTAGAAAATAGAAAGTTCTTTTCGCCATTACAAACTAAAACATGGAGTCGTGAATGGTAACAAAAGAAATCATCATTTTACAACAACTACAACATAACATACATAAATAGAAATGGGCCATCACCTGCATAGGGCATTTGGCATCGGTTAGTTGTTAGTACTACTAGACGTGTAAGGATCCGTATGGTATTAAGTGTTAACACGTGTAATCCATGTCAGCTTTGGTGTCCACCATCATCAAACGGAGTTGGCGTTGCACTTGCTTAAAGTATGTGTAAAATTTATTAAGGGTTTCTCCAGACTATAAATAGCATACATTTAAATAGATGGGTGACAAAAGTTTGCTGTCCTGCTTAATGGAGGCATATGTAATTTGATATATATGTATATAATAGAGGTGTAAACAATAAACATGAATTGAAACAATCAGCATGCGAAACATAGATTTTATGGAAAAAGTCATACATGTAAGCCAAAAATAAAGCAAACAATAAAAAGTACAAAATAATTCGAAAATATGAAATAAAATATAATTATCTTGCTATTAGAGTTGATATTTTGACTGGTCGGCATCTCTAAGGGTATCATTGATTGAAGCATCTTATATATCTAGTGAAGCGTAACATTTGTTGCTCATTATCAATTTGGCTAGTTGGCGTTACAACAGAGCGAGGCCCGCAATTGTGTGGCTCAGGTGGATAAGTTACTGTCGTTCAGATCGAGATTGCTTTGGAATAGCTCGACATTGCTGAGCAGTGGTACCTTAGCCACCTCATGGAATATCTTGTGCGAGTACTTATTCCGTATCGTCTTGATGGTGGCCCGCGGCTTCCTGTGCAATCCAGCATTCAGCACGGGAATCACTTCAGCAAAATCGGCCAGCTGATAGCCCGTGTAGAAGATCAACGTCGATGTCCAGGTTTTGTTGTTCAGGTTGGCGGTGCCGCCATGCATGCGCAGTGCCATGAAGAGAGCGGCCGAGGCCATTTGCGAGTCACTGAAACTGATGGTGGCATAGTCCATTAGCGACAGCTCCAAGATGTAGCGCGCTAGAGTGAGTGTTGGCATTTGCACCTTGGCACAGCGAGCATAGCGACGCAAGAAGCGATAGGAGAGCGGTATGCCGAGATCGTAGTTAATCGTGCGTAGCGTTTCCATTTCCATTTTCACCAGTTCGTCGTGATTGTAGGCTCCATCGCATATATACAGAAAGTCCTCAATTAGCGGCGGCTGGCGCTCATCATACTTGCATGCAATGAAGAAGGCAGCAGCCCCCAGCAGTTGCAGCTTTTCCTTGTTAATCACCACGCGGCACAAATAGAGATCGACAATTTTAACAGCCAAATAGAGAGTCTCGTGGTTCAGCTCGAATGTCTCCTGCACCTCGACCATCCAGTCGACCAGCAGGGTTCTCATCCAGGTTGTCAAATGGATTTGTTTAGGCATATAATCAGTAATGGGAAACTCTGGCTCGCGCGTTTTCAAGTAATTGAAAATATCCCTTGCATAGTTGGACACCTGGAAGGGATCATCCCAATTCTTGCGATCAAAGTCCTCCACATCGTCTGGCACGGGAGTCACTGGCCTCACCACTGCAGCGGATGCTGCCTCCGTAAGCACCGATTGCTCCTGCACCGTTGCTGGCTTTGGCTGTTCAGTCTTTAGTTGTAATTTAGCAGAGAGGCGACGCGCTGCCTCGAAATTGCCGGACAAGCGCATGGAATCGCAACTGGAGATGTCCTCCAGTGCGGACATATAGAGGCTCTCCTCAGTCTTATTAAAGTCATTTGAGATGCGTCGCACCTTTATGGCAGCTGCCGGATGAGGGGCAGCCAATTTGGGAGCAACTGGCGCCTGCGCAGCGGCAATTTTCTGTTCAGCAATCACTGTGGTTGGTTTCTTTTGTGCCACTGGCGGCTTACGTGTCCTTTTTAGAGCCAGCGCCTCCTCGAATCTGTCCAGCGCTCTGTGACAGTTCTCCACCGTATCCTCTGACTTGGATGAGGCGCGCGTCATTATTTTGTTGGGCAAAGCAGCAGCAATAGCTGGAGCAGCGGCAGCGGCTATAATATTTGAATTGTCATTTTTCTTAGCATCCAGAAGCGCCTGCAGTTGCTGTGCCGTCGGTTTTTTTGGCAGCTGCTGTTGGGTGTCCTCGTCGCCCGGATGTAGCGTCATGATCTTAACATTGTTGGTCAAATTTCCCAGCGCCGAGCGCTTGATCTTATCATTCTTAATGGGGCTATGGTCGGCCTTGCGCTTACCACGAGTTTGCATATTTTCCGCATTTTGATCAATTACACTGTTGGCCTGCCGACGGGTCAAACCCTTTCCTCGTACGGCTGCCATCGGCAGAAGTGCGTTTATGGTCGCCTGGTTGCTTGTAGCAGTTCGAGTAGTACCTTTAATTGGCGCCATTTTGAAATGTTTCTACGTTCTCGCTGGCTCTGTTACTGTCTCTGCTTCTGTGGTTGTTGTTGTTGTTTTTGTCCTGCTACACAGCGACTGCGTGCGCGATGTAATTGCCGAGCGTTTATTATATTCTATTTTAAATTTTGGTACTTTGACTTATTTGCGCGCTCCGTTGCGATGTTTCAAATGATTCGTTGTTTTATTGTGAGCAAAACTTAATATATATTGTTTATTTGTTAGTTGCCTCACAATATCACTTTTCACTTGGAATTATGGCGCTTGGCCGCTCTGTTCATAACGGCGCTTGCAAAGATACAAAAGCGAAAAACAGCGCCAGCTGCAGATGTCACAGAATATGAAGTTGGTTGCAGCGTCTATTTCCAGGGTTGTCATTATGTTTCCGCATATTTACCGTTGCCAGCATGTCAAAGACGTTCGGAATGTAGTTCGGAAGCACGCAACGATTCCATTACACAACGATCTGGCAACACTGTCTAAGTTTTACGACCCACAGCACAATAATGCAGCAAAGAATTTGAACTTAACGTCTGTAAAGTGGTTATCTAAAATGCGCATATTTATACAGGCATTGATTATTTATTTAGTTTAATTAGACTAATCACAGATAAAAAGAGTTTAAATAAGCTTCCTCTACTTCCATAGCTTGATAACACCATCTCGCGACGACGACGCTATATATATCTGTCCCTTATCCTTGCACATGAGCAAGTCAGTGATGGCATCGTGATGACTTGCTTTAGGCATATCGGGTCCCGATCTAGGGCTTTCCTCTATTGAAGCGCGCATCTGTTGTGAATCGCCTATACTATTTTTGGGAATGATTTGCTCCTCAATCACCTGACTGCCGTCGATAAGACGGGCGCTGAAAGACGCAAACATACATATGTATAAAATATTCAATTGGTTTTAGGACATGGAGCCAATTTTAACATACCTATAGTTAAAAGACACATTGGCCAAATTGTCATTTGAAGCTGGCACCTTTAAAGCCGAATTCCTTGGTGATCCTATATCCCAGTACCTAATGCGCTGGTCCGAGCTACCTGTCAAGATGAACGGTGATCCGTCGACCACACCGCTCAATATACCGCAAGTTGTGGCTGGATCATTTTGAGTGGTATTGGTTAAGACGGGCGCTGAACTTGCCCACAGCACTGTTTGTCGTTGACTGGTCTCAATATTCCAAACCGATACCTCGTTATTGGACTGCGATGCTGAGATTAGATATGATGGCTCTGTCGGATGGCAGGCAACTTTTCTAATCCAAGAATCAGCTGGATGCTTTATCTCAGTTATGGGTAGTCGGAAACGCAGGTCCCAGCAGATATGTTTGCCACCACTGGTGCCCGTTGCCAGCCAGGAGCCAGTTGGGTCTGCACAGATAGTAGTAATAACGCCATGGCGCAACTCATTCTGCAATCGCCAGGCGCTATGCTGCATGCGAGTATCCCAGGCCACAATACCCCCATAGAGTGTGGCATAGACGATTACGCTCTGCGCCGACTGATCATATGCATGCATATCTACGACGGGGCCATCGTTGAATTCACTGCAAAGCAAGAGAAAGATGATTAGGTCAAATGCGCAACAAAAGATTGGTGAATAGCTACTTCTGATCCAAGGCCTGCTGCAGCGTCATCTTAGTGGAATTCCGGTCAATGCGCATTATAAGCAAACTGCCATCCTTGCCACCCACAGCCAGCGACTGTCCAGCATCGCATGCAGCTAATGCATAAACAGGCGTATGGGCAGAATATACCTGCCGCGATTTATTAATTCCCTGATTGCCATTTAGCTTGCTGCAGTCCCACAACCTGACAGTACCATCAATACTGCCGCTGGCAAACAACGAGCCATCCGGGCGCAGTGGCGCTAGCTTAATCACCGACTCAGAGTGCTCATGTAGATGTGCCACCAGAGTGCCATTTAGGCGCCAATTTGGTGGATACGGAGTGACCAGCTTATCATAGTTGCAACGCTGCGAGAGTGCCAGCACATTGTAGCGTCGCTTGATTTTAAGAGTCAACGACTCCAGGTCCTTGCAACACTCCGACGAACGCTCTAATGAGTAGTTACGATCCGGCAAGGTATATTCGCCCAATGAAGTGGCGGCGCTCACTGTTGTTGGTGGAACTCCAAGTAGCATGGCGCCGGATGCAGGACTGCCGGAGGAACCACCAGCTATGTGTGGAGTTACACCCGCATCTGAAGCCGGTGAAACTACTGCTTGCGCATGCGTATCATGAGAGGTTCCTAAATGACAGCTATACTTATCAAAAATACCCAAAGTTGATTTCTTTAAATTCTTACGATTATCTAGTGTCAATTTTGTTGCCTTTTCCGCCAGTGGATATTCGTGGCAGGCAACGTGCTTGCGGCTGACCAGGATCCGCCCATTGGCTGAATTGCCATCATCGATATCTTGTTGAGCCTTGTGCTTAAGCGCTATTAGAAAAGGTTTCATTGCCAACAATTGCAACTCAATGGTGTCCGTCAATCCCTCCGAGATGAGTCGTCGAAAGAGCTGTAGTGTTTTGGAAATGTGAGTGGTTCAATAGGACCGACCAAAATTACCAAAGCACTTACATTGAGTAGTGTCTGACCCATGTCATCAAATTGCGGTTGGGCTCCAGGACGTGTAATTCCTCGCCACCGTGCACGATCTCCAACAGAACCTACAAAGTATTGAATGTCCTCCAAGCGTTGCACTCCATCATAGATCTTTCTGCCCATTTCATCATATTGTGGTTGCGCACCATTTCGTGCATTTTCACGCAAACGCGCGCGATCTTCAAGAGCACCGACAAAGCATTGAACATCCTGGAAGCGCAGCACACTGTCATAAATTTGCCTGGGTATGGGCGGAAATAAACAGTCTAGCAGAATGTGCGGTTTATCCACTTGTATGAGCGGCGCCTTTAAGAACTTTCCAATGGCTGGCATAATCTTGCATTGCACATCAATGGCGCTCAAATTGCGGGCAGTGGTCGCAATCATGCCGCAAATCTCATGGCGAATCCACAAATTTGGATGGCACAAATAGCAGGCGGTTTCCTTAACAATCTCAGTTACTGTGGGTTTTCTTATATGTCCCAATTCGATTAGAATTGTCACCGCCCGTATGGCCTTTGCAATGACAAGTTCTTCGCGATCTGTAAAGCCTTGCTGTAATAGCGGGACCAGTATATCCGATGCCTGCCAGCCCACATAGCCGGCAACACCGGCAATGTTGTCATAGAATGCGCCGCGCAGATTCTTGTCCTCGTCATTAAGAAACGTCATAATGTGCGAGAGTATCACATCGTTTGCCTTCTCTTTGCCAAAGAATGCACACAAATCACATATGCCTGACTCCATCAGCGTCTGCTTGACAATGGGTTGGGTGTCCGTCAGCAAACTTAACACCGCCTGGCGAACAATATCGTGTAATGCATTCAACTCCGCCTCGTAGCGCGGCGTGGGCATTTCATTTGGTGCATTTCGCTGTGTTTCCTCCAGAAAATAAACAGCACTTTTGGCTAATGCTGCAATATTGCGAGCAAAGGCCACACGCACGATGACAGCGCTCGATTCGCTGGCCAAGTCTGCGATATAGGGTAGTATGTATTCCGGAAACACATTGGCATCGCTGCGTGGAATGTCCTTCACCATGCTCAGGCATGCAGTCAACGTTTCGATAGCCTGAACTTGCACCTTGGCTGGCGACTTTTGAGCCAGATTCAGCTACAGAGAATATACATACATTAGATTATAAATTTGATAAATAATCGATAACATACAATATAGGGCAATATACGATCCAGTATGGTCTCCGATGTGGTATATTTGGATAACTTTTGGAGCAACTGCAATGCAGCGATTTTCGTGTTAGACTGTTTGAGACCCCTGATACAAGAGGTAACCACTGTTATGATTAGTATAAGACCATCTTGCTCTGGCGGCAGCCGCTCACACTTCACCGGGTCTTTCTTTTCTATGTTTTCTTTGTCTTCCTCACTGGGCGTCAAGTCCTGTGCATTTGTCAGCACCTTAATGCAATGTCCGATGTCCTTGTGCAAACACTGTATCTTATCATCCGGAGACATAATTGGAGTCGATGAGAACATTTGCAAATATGACTGCAGAAATGAGTAAAAGTATTCCGGAAACAGTTTACCACGCTCCTGATCTAAATAATCCTCTGCGCTCTTTCGATTTAATGAGTTAATGTCAATCATGGATGCCAGTAAATTACGCAGTCGCTCATTTTCAATGCCAGCCAAATGTTTCTCAACTAGATCTCGTTCGCCCTGCCTATAGGCGAGCAATTGTGATAACTCAAATGGGGCAGTACCCTCTGTCCAAAGTTCTAGCAAGGCACAGCTGCAAATAGAAATACATATATTACGATTCATCGAAAATAATGGCTTACTAACCCAGCAGAAAATATATCCATTGCGGGCTGCAAAGTGCTGCCTGCATATGATGTGGGAACAGGTATTATAGAATCCGAATGTATAACGGACATATTTGCATTATATGGATCATCTTCAGAAGACAGAGTCTTGACAAAGCGCTCTGGAGCTATATAACAAGTGCGACGTCTGCTCGTATCAAAAAAATAAGTATAGTCTGCTGGATTATCTTCTGGTAAATATGTTGGCTTGAATGAAGCAAAGTCTGACAACAGAATCCAATTCCATGAGGTAATCAATATATTCTCAAGCTTTATATCGCCATGGCAGATTTTCTGTTTGTGACACTGGTTCAGGGCGCATAATATTTGGAATGTTATCCATTTTTTTTCCAGCACAGTGAGAAAAGGTCGCGTGGAAACGCGGTCGTATAGACTATGCTTAACGTACTGCCGCATTATGTAGGCTGCCTTGTCAATGAGCTGGTATGAAAATTGATTAACGTCTGGATTGAACAATTCTATTAAGGACTTACCTCCACTCGCTGGAACGGCAAACAGTTTACAGCATTGGCAAGAGTTTTTTTGATGCTCTCCAAGCGCTCTTTGTGATCCTCCAAAGGTAATGTTGGATCATGTTTGACAAATACCTTGACCACTATCAATCCCTCTTCAGTTTTAGCTTTGGCCACTTTAAAAAATCGAGTACTTCCCATACTGTGGATGGATAAGTCGTCATATATGCACATACATATACACATATGCATAATAAATAACCAGCTGTTAAATATATACTTACTTCAAGTCGAAAATGATTTCATTGCCAAACTGGCCTGAAAAATAGTGTTCCACTGCATAGATCTGCGATGGTGCAATGCCAACCAATTGATTACCCATTTTGCTTGCATTTGCACTTTATTTCTTGGCGAAACAGATCTATTATTTATATTTGTTTGTTTTTAATTAAGCAAATGCAACTCCCACTTCTTCTAGTTGGACTCTTTTCATTCAGGGTTGCCAAAATTCGCTATTTCTAGTGCTTGCCAACAGCTGTTTTGCGGTCGATAGTCAATATTCTTATCGATTGTGGGAAATAATCGCGCTAATCAAAATTTTGAAAACACTCAAGAAAAGAAGTGCAGCCGTTAGCAAAAACGAAATCGGTCACTCAAAGTGCAAAGCCCCAACAAAACAAAAAGTCGCAAATTCAGCAATATCGCCCCTGCTTGACAGCTATATAAACTAAAGTGTCTGTACCTTAAGTCACTAGTTGAATTGCGCCTTTTATTAATTTTACATAATGCGTGTCTCGTGCATCGTACTGCTTGCCTGTTCATTGGCACTAGCTCAGGCCGGCACCTGGCGCCAATCCCAGGACTATATTTCGAGTGATGAAGTCAGACCCAGCTGGACTCATAGGCATTCCGAAATGTGGCCCTGTGATGTGGCTGATTATCCCGAAGCCTATTTGCTCATCCACAAAGTTGAGAAGCGTTTGCAACGCATGAACGACGAGCAGTTGAAAAACAGAATTGTGGACTATGTCGTGGGCGAATTGAGGGACTGCAAAACAGGAAATGAGATGGACGAGCACTGTGTAAAACGTTCCATTGGCTATGCCATGTCATTCATTAATCGTCACAAACACCAGCAGCTATAATATTAATAAACTAAACGATTTATATATCAAAATAAATTATTACAAAATAATGAAATCAAAATATAAGTGCTAACGGTATAAAATGATCGGGAATGTTATGATTCTCTATGGCTTTTTGGATTTCCTATATAAATGTTCTTTTAATCGTTCCTTTCGAGCATCGTCTAACGTATAGCGACGCAAGACATCTCGTCTTTCAAATATCGACATTGTTATATCCTGACAATCTCGTGAGGGGTGACAGAAAGTCCAACTACCGAATATAGTGTCAATGCAGCCACATCTCCGACAAAAACCCACAAAGGTACCTATCGAATTAGTGTACACATTCTGGCAGGTGACTAGCATGGGCCCTCCTAAGGTGCTGATCGAACGACCCGTGAATATCCACTCCGCAAGATTTTCCAGCATTTCGTGTTGGCGTGGTGGAACCGTCTCCTGGATAGTTATATTAAGTGGTCTGTTCAAGGCTGTTGACGATGACTTGAAGCGATCCTTAATCTCCGCCGCAGTCACTTTCACGCACTGCCGCCATAGTCGATTCGTGTCGGAGCGACGAACTTTGGGCTGCATGCAGGTGGGCTTGAGGTCGGCCACAACGATTTTATCATCGTCTCTTATGTTGATACGTATGCCCAACAAAGCCGACTCCCAGGAGCCTGTTAATTCACAAGGAGCACCTGATACGAATAAAATTTAAAAACACTTTTTGTTCATTTCAAACCTTAGCACTTTGCTAACCGTCAGATGGCTCTGCAAAGCAGCAAGGTAGCTTCTCTGTTGCTTCCTGATTAGAGCTGGCATCTTGCATGCTCTGTAGTCGACTCAGAATCTTTTCCAATACGAATGCAATATTCCCACCCGCCTGTCCCTGTTGGTTATTAATGTTTGGGGCCATCATTGGTACTTGGCCCCCGTTGGTCTGGCTTGCTTTTTAAAAAACTTTGTAAGACAAGCACATGATAAGTCATCCAACTACTTACCTAGGGGCGACTGTCCTGTATACATGCCAGTTGCAATTGGTTGTCCACTGCCCATACCACTGGATGACGCAATGCGCTGAGCCATCTCCACAGGCGATACATTTAACTGCTTTGCCATATTCTCAATGAGTTTGCCGCCAGTCTCTTGTGGTTGCCCAAATTTTTGAACGAGCACCTCCGGAAATGCCAAATTGGCAGACATGCCATCGTAGCGGCCGTTTAAGCCACGCTTCTGGGTTTTTCTTTCAATTTCCGGACGATGCTTGGTCTGCAAGACTCTGATTATATGGTGAAGCTTGTTTTTGTTCTTGGTAAATGAAGGTGAATGTGTCAAATTGTTTCTCAATGGGATCGATTGCTGACTATTTTTCCCACAGACTACAGGTTTGTTACCTTCACCCTTGGGTACCGTCAATATATGCTGCTTAACTGGATCGCCTTTCTGAGGACTGCCGGGCCTCATCAGAGGCACATCGTTCCAGACCATCTGTCTGTGTTTGGAGTTAGATAAATAATATGGCTTTAGGCCACCGTTCATCTGGCTCTCCTTGCTTGGCTGCTGCTCACTTGTCTGTGACTCCGGCACCTTCATATATACAATGGTCTTACCTGCTTGCCCATCTGTAAACACTTCAGCCAATTTGTCGCTCTTGGTGCCGTCACAATAGCAGGGTATTAACCCGTTGGAGATTGTAACCGTATCACCGTCGATGGCCAAGTTGGTGGGCCTTGTGGCCTCACAGTAACATGGCATTTGCTCTTTAGTCACTGTCTGTCCGTCACTATCGACGGCTATTATTACGGACTTCGTTGCATCGCAGTGGCATTGGGTCAACGTGTTGGCGTTTACGGCTGCGCTACATTGGGCGCGTAGTCTTTGTTCTTCGCTTAGGGCCTTGTGGGAATTCTTGTGTGCTTGCAATATATCATTCAGTTTTTTCTTATACTCTTCATAGAGACCACCAGTTTTTATATCGGGGGCCACTTTGGGAACCAGGCGTTTGACCACATTCGAGGACTGATCGCTAATTATTTTGTTTTTCCCTCTTTGGCTAGATGGCGCTAAATAGTCGTTGACATTTAATTTGATCGAGCCTACAAGACTTTCCGTTTCTGGGTTCATTTCGTCATTTATGGCTTTAACAATTTCATCAACCGGATTTGATTGTTTGAGAGTCTCGACAACGTCGACAAGCGCGTCTAATGCACTTAAGCGAACATTTGTAGCCGGAAGTGCGTTCTTATTGCCGAGTAAGGTATACCCCTTTGTCTCTGGTGTTGGTCTTTTCCACACATTCACATATTTTTGATAGACTCTATTTAATTCGGCTAACCGATTCTCCATTTCATCAATATTAGCTTGTTGAATTTCGACTGCATCTGTCTTCTTAGCTTTTGCCTCTTTGGTCTTCGAAGGCTCATCCATTTTGAGTACAACCATGCCGTGAGCTGCTGGAAGATCCTCTATCGACTTCTCCTTACCACTTTTTTCGTCCTCCACATCCTTGATTTTTTCGACCCGCGCACATTTAGCCTTTTCTGTGTTGGTGTAATCAATGGAACTTAAGCCCTTTTCCTTTGCCCTTAGATCTTTAATTAAATTAGATGCTTTCTCTGTATTATTCACTGCCGAAGTTCCTTTAAGAGGTATTATGGTTTTACTAATAGAACTCTCGTCGTCCTCCTCTGCTACAGCTATTCGTTTGCCTATCTGACCCACSTCTATTTTGGCATTGCCGCCGCCGCCGACACCATCCTGCAATAGCACCCTGTATGCGGTGTAGAGGCGGGGTATATCCACTTTGTTGTTTCGTTTCCATTTGGTCGCAGCGTTGGGGGTGCTCAGAAGTGCTTTGCTATCGGCGGTTGAGTTTGGAATTGAAAGAAGCAGCAATAGGTATATAATTGTTATTCGAACTTCGTGCTGCCGATCATGCCAACCAGACATTTCATTTTGTGTCTGAAATTTAAGTTGAGCATCTGATAAGCAACAATAGTAAATTTCAAATTTTATAAATCAAATGAGACATTTAGCTCACAACAAGATGATTTTAGTAGTATTGTATATAGAATATATACAGAGAGAACTAGGAACTAGTCGCCATAGGTAATCTCTATCTGACCAATTGCTTGTAGATTTAATAAAACAATTAAAATTATATTACAATATCAAACTAAGAATTTATTCCGGATTTTTGAGATGATAATCATCAGAGTCAGAATTATCATAGTCAACGCCAGTCGTTTCTCTATTTATATTTAATATATTATCGCTGATCTCCATATATGGATAGTAGACGTTGACATGTGGAACGAATGACTCCTTTATGACCTGCGGCGATGTCCAGCGTAGTAAATATTGTGGACTACCCAGCTTCTCATTGCTGCCTGTTAACTGACCAGCTCCAAATGGTTGCTGACCCACCATTAGACCCGTGCACTTGTCATTTATGTTTAGGTTGCCCACATTGGACTTGAATATCTCGCATGCCTTCCGGATAAACTGATTATCTTGAGCAAAGATCGAAGCTGTTAGAGCGTGATTCACTTCAGTAATTTTATCCATTATCCTATATAAGTTCTCATCTTGATAGACATAGACACATAGAATAGGCCCTAACAGTTCCTCTTTGCACAGAAAGTCATCGAGATTTTCAACAAGCACAATGGTGGGATCCACATAGTAGCCACGGCCCTTGGAGCAAGTTCCGCCAATTAACATTTTACATTCAGAATTGTTATGTATGTACTTCAGATATGTGAAAAGCCTATGATAGGCCTTCCTATCAATGAGCGCCGAGTAAAAACAGTCACAGTAGGTTGCATCGCTAACAAACAGCCGTTTGGTAATCTTCAGCAGTGGTTTCTCGATTTTCGTCTTCCACAACGACTCGGGCACGTACAGCATAGAGCAGGAGGAACACTTTTGGCCAGCATATTCGAACGCTGCTCGCACGGTACAGGCTACAGCAACTTCTGGATTTGCCGACGGGTGCACAAAGTGGAAGTTCTTACCACCACAATCGCCAACTAATCGGGGATAGTTCTTATAAGTATCAATACGCTGTCCAACCATCTTCCAAAGCAACTTCAACACCGCAGAAGTACCGGTAAAGTGAATGCCTGCCAAGTCAGGGTTACAAGTAACGGCCGTAGAAAATACCGTTGGCTCAGCTGGGACGAAGTTAACAACTCCCTCAGGTACGCCTGCCTCCCGCATAGCCTGGAACACATACCAGTTTGACAACACAGCGGAATCTGAAGGCTTCCAGAGCACAGCATTGCCCATTAAGGCCGGTGTATATGCCAAGTTTCCAGCTATGCTGGTATAATTGAATGGACTAATGGCGGCTACAAATCCGGAAAGTCCCCGCAACACCATATGGTTTCGACACGACTCTGGTTGGCCGTTAACTGGTTCGTAATTGGCTAGGTCACGTAGGAAAATAGGGTTTATGCGCATAAAGTCCACCAGTTCAACGAGATCCATTTCCGCCTGGCACAGAGTCTTCCCCTGGCCAAGCATCGTTGCTGCAACAATCTTAAAACGATATTTCGTAGCAATTAAATTAGCAGCTTTCTCCCAAATGGCCATACGCTCCCTTAACGTTGTTTTATCCCATTTTTGCTGTGCTTGAGTAGCCGAACTAATAGCCCGGTCAATTAATTCTCTATTTGCGTGGGAGTAACTATAGGTTTTGGAATAAAGCGATTAAAATACATAGTTACTTGGATTTATGTTGTTCTGGAATCATACCGTGCAATAAAATGTTCTATATTGTAAGGTATTATTTGAGCAAGCTCACATTTCTTAAAAATTTCCTTGCCGTTTATTACGATTGGGACCGGCTCTATTTTATTAAGAATTGTCTTAAGTTCAGCCTTCAACTGATTGCGTTCATCAGATCCCGCCTTGTATTGTAACATACGTTCATTTTGTATTGGTAACATATTAAAGTGCTCGGTTATGATATTTTCTACTGGACATTTGCGGAAAGTTGAAATTGAAAAACACCGAGCATACGCGGGCAAATTGAACGATAATCTGAAAATGTTATCGCATATTTAATGGTGGTGGAAAACGCATATACTTATTGCTGAAGCTATCGATAGATCGATTGTACGCCAGCACAGTAAAATTAAATAAAACAGCTGTTTGCATGTTGTTTGTTTTTATGCAACAAAGTGATGCGTTCGTTTAATAATGCAACTTACGCGAGTTTTGTTGAAGCCTCGAGCCTCAGAAGTGCTGAGCGCTTATTTAAAACAATGCCATGAGCCATTTTGGACATCATATTTTGTTAAAGTGAGCACAGTACGAGCGAACGTCTATAGATATTCTAATATACCATGAATAAAGTTTAAGGATGTTCAAAACGATCAGCGCGGAATGTCGCACTTCAATTGGACACTCGATACGGGCACAAATTACCATATATTACGTACAGGCTGTTATCCGTACATAAAATACCACTGCAGCAAACGTGAGGTAGCTGATCTCTCGATAGAGGATAAATTCTTTCGATTCCTTAAAGTTATTAATTTGGGTGAGTGCCCTCAGGAAATAGAATCTGTAAGTGTTTTAATCCGTATTTGTCACAGGCCTTCCTATGCTGTTCTATGGACTTGCAGCCATTCGTTTAATAAGCCATACAGAAATGGTTCGAGTCAACGATGCGGAAGAGGTACCTATTTATTTTCTTTACGCCGAAGATAAAGGGTCTAGATTTTGAATTTAACTAAAAAGTGTCGGAATTAAAAATTTTGTTCGTAGAACTTTTTTCTGAATATATACTAATGTTTATTGTTCAACAATAACATACAAACCTGACTACATTTTGAAATATGTTTAACAATGGTAAAACGAAAAAAAAAAAATCAAACAGACGAATATCTTAATTCTTGCAGTCAAATGTGGGATTCTCGCAGGTATCATCGTAATTATCTAGCAAAAGTGGTTCCAACGAAGCTGCAAATTGACTCAACGAACATGGTGGATCACAATTGGGTATGCTGAGCTCCTTGGGGAATTTGTCTTCACTATTAAAATAGTATACCAGCTGTATGTAGATAAAATATATTAGAATATAGTTAATTAATCTAGCAATAGAAGTAAACCTTGATATACCTTCACTTCGAAATCCCCGTCTGCGAAAGATTTGCTGTGATGCAGCTCAAAAACCAATGCCGAGGCATACTCTGGGAGCTTAGCCGTCTGATCCAAAATTCCCATAGAGTTCATAACATTCACCAGGGTAACATCATGGCCTGCATACAAAAATATCTTACGATCCGGATTCAAATTCTTTTTGCGTTTGTTCTGCATTTTCTTAAGTATTTCTGTGAGAAAGGCACCGCCCTTAATACGTTTCATGAGATGTGTTTCGGTAAACAGAGCATAGCTGCGTTCAGCCAACGATCGCATTTCCTCCGGGTATATGTTCTCAGTCCAATCAGGCAGGGTAAGGCTGACTTCCTCTTCTGTTTTTAATGTGGTATACAACATTTCCACATCAAGCACATTGGAAATGTTCTGCAAAGTGAACAAAATGAATTGCTGTAGGAAACCTTTGATGTGAATAATTACCTTGCCCGTGTTCTTTGTGAGTAGCTTATATAGCTCCTTGTTTTCCTCGTTTAACTTTTCAAGATCTGGTGGCGGGTTTTTGTATAGCTTCTGAAGTATGCTCTCATATTTAGCGCAGGGCTTTTTCTGTGCCAACAACTATAAATAGAAGAAAATAAAAAATTAAATAAAGATTTGAATTGTATATTTGCAGTTAAAACTTACAATGTCATCGTTACGTGCTAGGGTGTTTACGGCCACCGGCTGCCAGGGTATGGGCAGCACATTATTATTATCCAGCGGCGGCATCAGGCCGGCCAACACGCTTTGAGCGCTCATCTAAAAGATAACTACCAACTGATAAGACACACAGTTCTCTTATCATCAGACAATTTTGTTTGACTTTGACGCACCACACAGCGTTCCGCGGCGGAGCTTAGAACATGCACTTGCTGTTGTGTGTAAATGCTGTTCGATGGCAACAGCCGATAGTAGCGCATGCGCAGATTTTGTCCCAATTTGTATGATTGCAAGCTGCCCTTCTGCAAAGACAGAAAATGCACTTAAAGGCTTTCAGCAATATTGAATTTTACTTGCGTGATTATATCTTACCTGTGTGAGTGCACCAAGGCCTTCCTGCCAGTCGTGCGCTGCATGTGGATCATTGGGATAGAAACCGCTCGGATTCTTGGCACCATGGCGGAACAGCTGTRGAAATCAAACAAACGATGCACATACATACATAGATATGCAAATGACATAGTTGAAATGCGCATTCTAATTGGATGGATGTTTGGCTAATGCTCACAATTGATATCATGCGTAGCTTTTTCAAGCCCTGCTCGTCGTTGCTGTCGCCGAAAACGAAATAAGCCATCATTACAATGCATAAAGCGCTGCCCAGTATTATGACTGATATTTTGGTGCCACGTCGTGATTTGCAGTCGAAAGGCGACATTTTCTATTAATTTCCTTATAGTTTCTTGATTTCTGCTGCAGTTTATTAATATATATATATAGGTGTTTGCACTACAACACTTTTATTTTTCACAACCTAAAAATAGTATTTGTTTATTTGCTGTATAAACTGTTATTGCTTTAACCACATATGAGCCGATATTCCCCATGCGCACATCCAACAACTACGAAGACTGCGCGGCAACTGAGCAAGCAGTGATAGACAGCTTGGCCACCACGAACACAGACATAAATACGCTGAGCGCAAGAGAGCATTGTAACTGAACGTCCAAGGAGAGCGAGTGTAAAAATACTCCCACACTCATATTTAAGAGCATCAAACAATAATCGCAACTCAATAAGTATAGGCGCATGAGAGATTGGGAGACACTGGGTGTGCAAATGAGAGAGACTATTTTCATACAAGTGCTAATAATCAAATACCCCATTGGAAATTGAAACCGCCACCTTCTAAGCTAAAATAAATACACATATCAAGCTTGTGTTTTTATAATTTACTTCTTTAAGCAGGCTTACGTTTAACAAACGAAGAAACACTGAATGGTTACAGTAAAAAATATATATGTGTGTTAGATGAATATTATAGAAGAAAAAAATATATATATGTATATACATATGAGTAGCATCAGGACTTTTCAGACACGTATCATTCTTGCCGTAACTCAACCGCAATGATTAAATAATTGATTGTTGATCGGATATGTTGTTCAAAGCGTTGCGGCAAGCCTGCCATTGATCCATAAATATTATTAACTCAAAAATCTACGAACTAGCTTCCTGCTCATTCTCGGACTCACTGGAGGGCTCTTCCACCAAATAGCCCTGTTTTGCACGATAGATGTTTTTCTTTCTTCGTGGCTTATTTGTGGTCTTTGGCTCTGCAGCTACGGTGTCTACATTGCTCGTCTTATATTTATCATCTTTAGTCATATTTTTTGTTTGATCTTCATGTACGGGAACAGATGCTAGGTATGTGGTATGCGGTTCCTCCTGCTGACCAAACTCGAATATGGCTTGTTGTTGAGGATACTGAACAATGTCGTAGACAAACTCACGATGCTGATCACTATCGCTAGCCATAGCCAAATGGTTTTGCAGATTAGAAAAATAGCTGTCAGCACCATAGCTATCCGTATGCAAGGGCCAGTGTACGGATCCATAGTTGTACTGTCGAGTTTCCGGCACAAGCTCGTAAAATTCAAGGGTGGTAGTGCGATAACAATGCCTTGACATAATGATCTCCTACCACTGTCGACTTCTTGTATGTATATATATATATAGATATATGTGTGTTTTGCTCTGCCCCGTGCTCCTTCTCCCGGCCGCAAGTCAAACGCCCAATGGCGTAGTCAATATGACTGATTCCCAATTACAATAGCTCCTGGATAGCAACAGCCTCTATAGGTGCGTCCTGATTGACAACACTGAGCCACAAGCGTAAAAAGTAGGTACGCACCGCGTTATGCCGCAACAAATAAAACTGCAGATTAATTTTAAAGATCATTAGACCATAGATATGTTCTTAAATCAGCTCAAAAGTCGCTCAATGGGCTGGATTGCTGTGAGAGACGATTCGCTGGCACTGAAAGGCGAGAAATAATTTTGAATTTCATAGAAAATTGTGAATTTTGAACTAACTAATGTGTCAATAGAAACTAGACGTGCTATTCGTTTAAAAATGATCTTTCTTTAGAATCTAATTCGTAATTTATTGTAAATATTACATCTTAAGTGTAAGCACAGTCTTTGGTCCCACATCTGGGGGCGTATGCACAATCCACTGCCAGCCAACACTGTCAACTGCCGCCGAGCACATATCGTTCTGTATCCAGCTCCTCGTCGGAGTACTGCTGTTCCATGCGCTCGCATTCGCTATGCTTCGAGCAGCGCTTATACAACATATAGCCGCCCCAAACACTCAGCGGCAGCAGCGCCAAGCCCAGGGGCATGAGAAACAGAAGCAGGAATTCCCGAGGATCGCTGGTATCCTCAGTGACAAGCTCATCACTGTTAGTGTAGTCCACCCAGTACTCCATAGCATCGTCAGACGGCAATACTTCGAGATAGGCTTCCCGGATCTTGTGGCCGCGATAGCTAATGGCCACGCACGCATAGTAGCCAGCATCCCTGATCCTCACATTGTTAATGATCAGCTTACTGAGGTAGATCTGTGGACTGACGAGCTTCTCGGGGGATGTGGAGAGCAGCTCATAAGTGCGTCCATTGTAGCGCACAATATGAGCACTAAAATTTGACGAGCCCTGCGTGGGCTGCGGTGTATCCTGAGCAGAAGAATATGCGGCATATCCATGCCGTCGAAACCATTTAATGGTCAAGTGCTCCTCGCTGTGCACACGACACTGAAAAACCACTCGACTGTCCTGAATAGCTGTCTTATTGCTGGGATAGGCATCCAGGAACTCAGGTGCAGCAAGCGAGCTGTCTGAAAAGAGTATGAATAAGTTAGCTAAGAGGCCACTCGACTAGCTACACTACGTGATGTACTCACTCTTAACGTCCAGCTGATAAGTGCGCACAAGTTGCACGTCCACCGCCTGAGTTGCATCCCATACATGTGGATTGATGCTGCACTTGTACAGGCCCGAGTATCGCTCCGTGACATTGCGCAGCCAGAGCTCGGCGCGACAGAGCGTCGACTCGCACGGCAGGGCGGTCCAATCGTCGCCAGACTCCAGCTGGTAGCAATTATTGTCGCTGCATTGCTATGAATACAAAATATATTGCTATTAGCCCCATGGATGGCTTTCTCAGGGACTATCATGCTCACCTTAAAGTACCAGTGTATCTTAATGTCCGCCAGCCTGCGCTCATCCAGCAGCCCCGTTAGGTTGCACTGTAACCGGACGTCGTAGCCGGCACGTTGCTGTATCAGCTCTGTGTTCTCTGTCAAAATATGCAATCAAACAATCAGTTAGGAATGAAATCATAAATTGTTTCGTTTAATTATGCGAAAAAAATCTTATCAAAATGTCTTGCGAAACAAAAGCAAAAATGATAAACTGGTACAGCTTGAAAGAATTGCCACGTTATGCAAAGTGTGTATGGCCTCTAAAATTACTTCAAGAACTCCGTTTGCAATATAATTATTTTGAAACTCGTACACCCACCTGTATAGTCTATAAAGTACGCAAACGTCGTAGACAGTCCACATAATCCAATTAGCAACCAGATGGCGTCAAAGCGTTTTTGCCGCAGGTGTTTCATTATATTTATTGTCATCAACATCATTTGCATTTGTTTTAACAACAAAGTTTCGACACGGCTTTGCACATTATATAAAAGTATTAAAGCTCCTTAAACAGCTAAAATTATATTAAGCATTTCAATTTTGTTGAATATAACAAATTTTAAGTTAAATTTTAATAACGCTCTCTTTGTATTTTATAGAATTCTCACGAATCGGTGTATGTTTAAATAGATATTATTTTGTATCATAACATATTTCAGAAACACTTAAACTTATTAAGTTTAACAATTAGCAGCGAAATGATCGATTTTATTTTTTCAATTTAATTGTAAACATTTTCTGCTCGTTTCGATGCTGCTCAGGTTTAT